ACACGCCCACTTAGCTGCCCTTTCGGCCTCAGGCTATCTCGCCTGCTCCCCTCTTTGATCCGCCTCCTCTTGCCTTTTCCCTACTCCTGTTGCGTTGCCATGCGCCTTGAGCGCCTTCCGACGGTACGGGGGTGGTACGGGTTAGGTGACGGGGGCGGGGAGCTTCACCAAACCTTGGCGCCCGTGCTGCTAGATGCCGCGTGCTTCTGCCAGCAGCTAGTGAGCGCCGCGCCAAGCTGACCGTCTCCTCGGCGAATCAGAGCGCAATCCGAAATCCCCCCCTCCCTCCATTCCTCCCTCCGCTCCTCCTCCTCCTCTTCCTCCTCCTCCTCGTGCCAAACGGGCTGTCAACATTCATCCTCGTGACGACTACAGTCTGGGTTATGCCGACCGCTCCATTCGGGCCGCCCGCTGCCCAGTGAGATTGGTTCCCAAACTGCTGCATTTTGGGGCCCTTTTAGACCCTGGGGAGGCTGAGCTTGTCAAGGTACCCCCTGCCCCGTCCGGCCTTTAGCTCAAATCGGGCATGTCCCCCTACAGGGGAATTTTCGACGACAAATTAACAATAGTCAAACCACATTCGCAAATTATTCAGCGTAGTCAAAAACATTCCCGACTACGTTTTTCTATGTTTGAATGTTCCTCCTTTGGAGGGACAGGCCCGGTTTAACCCTAGTCTCTCTTGGAGGTCTTGGTTGGGTGTGTGGAGTTACGAGGTGCGTGCCAGGGGTAGGCGTTCCGTTGGCAAGCCTGCGCCCAGCCGTCGCCCAGGCACAAACGAGTTGCATACAAATCGTTCTGATTTTATCAATCACCACGCTTTCGCCTCTGATTGTGATGACAGCAATGTTCTGTTTATCTCCATCAAGTGTTATTGTCATTCGAGTGGCCTCAGCGACCGTAGTCTTTCGGAAACGTGTTCGGGCCCGACGAAAGCGACAGGGACTGGCTGGAATATTTTGTGCAAGAAGGGCCTACGCCCCCATTGCATCAGGAGGGGGGTCAACGTCCACGCTGGCAATCTTATTCAGTACACGTTTAAGCGAGCCTGTTGCCGAACTGGCGTCCCCTACCGCCGTCAGCGCATGCAGTTTAGTGGAGAGTGATATGTAGAACTCAAAAAAAATCCTCCTCTTCCTCCTCCCCCTCCTCCCCCTCCCTCCTCCCACCCCATCCTTCGCCTTTTTCGCTCTTGTCCTCGTGCTGGACTGTATCGTTTCTTGGGGAGGCTGGCCGGGCGAAAAAGAGCCAAGGGGAGAGAGGCTAATCGAGGATGGAAAGAACCCCTAACCCTAACAACACAGTGAAGACGTGGCCTCACTGAGGTCCCCGTCTTTGCATCAGGGATCCAAGATCTGAGCGGTCTGGTTCGATACGTCTGCAGAGCAGACCCCCTTTAGCCCCAATGCTCCTGGCCCTCCTAAGTCAGGCCCCCTCCCCTTCCATTGCCCATCCGAGACGAGAGTGGAGTGGCCAGGGCGCACGGAGGCGCAGGCGGGGAGAAAGGAAGGCAGGGGGACGGAAGACGCTTCCGGGGTACCGCGCCTGGCCTTTTTCTGCGCAGCACCGCACGTCGGGACCCGACGTGGAAGCGCGGAGGAGGATTGCGGAGGAGGTTGAGGAGGAAAAGGAGGGCCAGGATTGAGGAGGAGGAGGAGGAGAAGGAGGAGGAGGAGGAAGATGGGGAGGAGGAGGAGGAGGAGGAGGAGGAGGAGGGGCAGGATTGAGGAGAGGGAGGAGGAGGAGGAGGAGGAGGAGGGGAAGCAGGAGGAGGAGGAGGAGGAGGAGGAGGAGGAGGAGGATTGAGTAGGAGGAGGATTGAGTAGGAGGAGGAGAAGGAGGAGGAGGAGGAGGAGAGGCCGGGAAATTGTGGAGTCGCTGTGGGTCCCAGATGAGTTTTTTGTTATCTTTCAGGCTGCTCCTCATCATTACCCTTACCATTACCATTACCATTTCCATTACCATTGCCACTACCGCTACCACTACCACTACCATTACCATTACCTTTCCCATTCCCATTACCTTTACCATTGCCATTGTCAGTACCAGTACAATTGTCATTGCCAGTCCATTCCTATTCCCATTCCCATTCCCAATACCATTACCATTACCATTGTCATTGCCATTACCATTACCATTACCTTTACCCGTACCCTTATCCTTACAATTTCCATTTCCGTTACCACTACCACTACCATTCCCATTCCCATCCCCATTCCCATTCACATTCACATTACCATTACCATTACCATTACCTTCACATTTACCTTTACCTTTACCATTACCATTAGCATTACCATTACCATTACCATTACCATGGCCATTACAATTGCCATTGCCATTGCCATTGCCATTATCATTACCATTATCGTTGCCATTGCCATTGTATTGCCATTGCCAGTCGCTACCCCGTTACCATTACCATTACCATTACCGTTACCATTGCCATGGCCATTGCCGTTGCCATTGCCATTCCCATTGCCAATGCCAATCCCATTGCCATTCCCATTCCCATTACCGTTGCCATTGCCAGTCGCTACCCCGTTACCAGTGCCATTACCATTACCATTAGCGTTACCGTCACCAACACCATTACCAGTACCAGTACCATTACCACTGTCATTACCATTGCCGTTGCCATTGCCATTAGCCACCACCATTACCACTGCCAGAACCATTACCATTCCCATTCCCATTCCCAATACCATTACCAGTTACCATTTCCATTACCATTACCACTACCACTGCCATTGCCATTACCATTACCATTAACTTTACCTTTACCTTTACCCTTACCCTTACCCTTTACCCTTTACCTTATGGTAATGGCAATGGCAATGGCAATTGCGATTTCCATTTCCGTTACCAATACCACTATTGCCAGTCGCTACCCCGTTACCATTACCACTACCATTGCCGTTATTGTTACCATTCCCATTACCATTACCTTTACCATTACCATTACCATGGCCATGGCCATTACCATTGTCATTGCCATTGCCATTGTCATCGCCATTCCCATTGCCATTGCCATTACCATTGCCGTTGCCGTTGCCATTGCCATTGCCGTTGCCATTGCCAGTCGCTACCCTGTTACCATTACCGTTACCAGTACCACTACCAGTACCGTTACCATTACCACTGTCATTACCATTATCATTACCACTGCCACTGCCCATTGCCATTGCCATTGCCATTCGAGGATTTCAGTAGGAATCATTAAGTGGAGGGTTTCACTAGGAATCCACATGTGCAGGATTTCAGTAGGAATCATTCAGTGGAGGGTTTCGATAGGAATCTTTCTGTCGAAGATTTCACTATGAATCTTTGTTGTGGGGGCGTTCAATAGGAATCCTTCTAGGGGGGAGGGGGCAGATGAGGCCACGTCGCCGACCCCCCCCCCAAAAAAAAAAGAAAACAACACAAAAAACAATCCGCGAATCTCAATTCCGATATTTTTTTTGGGGGGGGGCACCAGGAGAAACAAAAAACAGAGAGGGAGGAGGAGGAGGAGGAGGCGGAGGCGGAGGTGAATCCGTGGGAGCGTTCAATAGGAATCCTTCTAAGGGGGAGGGCATATGAGGCCACGTCGCATTCCTTTTTTTTTCGTCGCCGACCCCCCCCCAAAACAAAAAACACGCGAATCTCAATTCCGATTTGTTTGTTTCTTTTTGTTTGGGGGGGAGACACCAGGAGAAAAAAAAACAGAGAGGAAGGAGGAGGAGGAGGAGGAGGAGAGGGAGGAGAGGGAGGAGGAGAAGGAGGAGGAGGAGGAGGTGGAGGAGGAGGAGGAGGAGGAGTCGCGAACTCAGCGCGAAAGCCTCGCGCGCGCGCGCCCTCGACCCCCTGCGACTCCACAATTTCCCGTTCTCGAGGAGGAGGAGGAGGAGGACTGAGGAGGAGAGGAGGAGGAGGAGGAGGAGGAGGAGGAGGAGAGGATTGAGGAGGAGGAGGAGGAGGAGGAGGACGAGGAGGAGGAAGAGGAGGAGGAACAGGAGGAGCAGGAGGAGGAGGATTGAGGAGGAGGAGGAGGAGGACGACGAGGATGAGGAGGAGGAGGAGGAGGGGGAGGAGGATGGAGGAGGAGGAGGAGGAGGAGGCTCTGGATTGTAGAAACAGCAACCGCATAAGCATGCACTTTCGGAGGTCGGCGTGGACTTCTTGGATCTGCGCTGGGCCCCCGTGGCGGATTCTCTGGCGCGGCGCCTGGCGCGCTCCGAACGCCTGGCAGGGTGGCCCGGTGCCGGCCAGAGAGATCCGAATGGTTTTTTGTCTTCTAGAGATGGAGGCGAAGGACGAGGAGGAATAGGTAGCTGAAGGGACCGCGGCCGCGAGCGTTCTGCGACGAAGCGGGATCGAAACCTCCTCGCTGCGGAGTTTCATCGGGCTTCGCGTTGCCAATGTCCGCCGTGTGCAGACGGCTGCCTCGGCGCGTCAGAGGAAGTGTACCCAGCCGATTGTGGACCACCGTTCTTACTACCAGAAGCATCACAGAGCTAGCTTGATTCGTCCTCGAAAGTCCAGAATAAGCCTGGTGGCTAGCAGGCGATCAAAGAGCACATGTCTCAACGAATCCAACGCTACGCTTAGCGTTGGCTGTTCCAGGTGTCCGTGCCTTCTCGGCATTCACTCAGTGCTGATGTGGAGTGCCGAAGCCTGGGATACATGTGTATGTTTTCGCACTTATACTCGAGTGGGTACCTCCCTCTTTCTCCTCCGCCTCTTCCTCCTCCCCTCCGTCCTCCTCTCCCTCCCCCGCCTCCTTCTTTCTTTTTTTCCCCCTTCTGGTGATTGTCCTCCTCCTACTCCTTCCCTCTCATCCTCGCTCTGCTTTCCTCGCCCTCCTTTCGACGTCGCCGTCGCCGTCGCCGTCGCTGTCGCCGTCGCCGTCGCCGCCGTCGTCGTCGTCGTCGTCGACGCCGCCGTCGCCGCCGCCGTCGTCGCCGCCGTCGCCGTCGCCGTCGTCGCCCTCCTTCCTTGTCCTCGGGCACCTGCCGCAGGGGGCGGTGCGCCGGAGGGCGCCGAGGCCGGCGAGGACAGCGAGGCCGCGGTGGGGTCGATGGAGGACCGCGGGCCCGGCCAGCGCCGGCCCGGCCAGCGGCCTGGCAGGCGGAGCAGGAGGAGGGGGAGCAGGAGGGGGGGGGAGGAGGAGGAGGAGGAGGAGGAGGAGGAGGAGGAGGAGGAGGAGGAGGAGGAGAAGGAAGGAGGAGGAGGAGGAGGAGGAGGAGGAGGGAGGAGGAGGAGGAGGAGGACGAGGAGGAGGAGGAGGAGGAGGAGGAGGAGGAGGACGAGGAGGAGGAAGAGGAGGAGGAAGAGGAGGAGGAGGAGGGGGGAGGAGGAGGAGGAGGAGGAGGAGAGGAGGAGGAGCAGGAGGAGAGGAGGAGGAGGAGGAGGAGGAGAGGAGGAGGAGGAGGAAGGAAGGAGGAGGAGGAGGAGGAGGCCGGCGGGGCGGCCGAGCGGCCGGCGGGCGGCGCGCTGTCGGGGTGGGCGGGCGGAGTGCTTCGGCTATAGCCAGGACTCCGCCGGGTAAGGGGACCCGGTTGGTGGCGGGGCCCTGGGACCCCTCAACTTGCCAGATTTGCTGAACCAGGCTTGCCGTAGCTGGTGTTCTTCGGGTGACTGCAGTTCCGGTCAGTGGAGATGGGACGGGGGGGCGCCCCCGGCACACATCATTGCACCAGGTTCCACTAAACACAGTTCTGCCAACGCCCGAGTGCTGCAGGGGGGCGGTGTGGAGTGCCAAGACCACGCGGGGGATGGGCGGGTGGGGGGGAAGGGGGTGGAGTGCCACGTGGGGGGTGGGTGGGTGGATTGCCACGCGGGGGGTGGGCGGAAGACCGCAGGTGTGTGTGTGTGTGCCTTGGGTCCCAGCCCCGTTCTGAGGGGGTGGTGCGGAGTCCGGAGTACCACGCGGGGTGGGTGGGCGGAGTACAGCGTGGGGGGGGGGGGGTGGGTGGAGTGCCACGCTCGAAGATCTCCAGGACGTGTGTTAGCCGAATGTGTGCTTACCCCGTTCAGCTCCACCGATGGACCATCACACCGCCTCCGTCGTGCTGCTTTGACGGACAAACACATGTTCGATATGGTTTGGTGTATCTGCTCTGTGCGTTAGTTCTGCACAGCGGTTCAACCGCGGGAAACTCCTCGAAGCCCCCGCCAGGAGAAGGATTCAAGCAGGACGGGTGAGAGCCACGTGGGGGGCGGGGGTGTCACCGCAGGGGTTTGTGTGGGTGGGATACCACAGGCGTGTGTGTGAGAGAGAGAGAAAGAAAGAAAGAAAGACAGAGTGTGTGTGTGTGTGGGTGGGTGGGTGGAATTGTCCCGCCGGCTCTGCAGTCGCGCTGGCGGCCGCTGGCGCTGCCCACAGCAGAGAGTGCGAGTGGAATAATACCACGGGGGGGGAGGAGTGCAGCAACGTGCGTGGGTGGAGTGCGGCGCGGGGTGGGCGGCATGCCACGGGGGCGGGTCGACTACCACGCGAGGGCGGGGGGAACACAGCAGGAGTGGTGGAACTCGGCGGGGCACGTTGCCCTGCGCTTCGCCAGGAGGAGCGTGCCAGACTGGAGGCCGTTTACCGCAGGCGCCTGAGTTGCCATCGTCGTCGTCGTAGTCCTCCATCCTCCTCCTCCCTCCTCCTCCCTCCTCCTCATCCTCCTCCTCATCCTCCTCCTCCTCATCCCATCCATCCATCCATCCTCTCATCCTGGTCCTCCTCGTCCTCCTCGTTCTCGTCCTCCTCCTCCTCCTCCTCCTCCTCCTCCTCCTCCTCCCCATCCTTCTCCTCCTCTATCCTCCTTGTTCTTCTCCGCGTTCTCCTCGCCTTCCTCGCGATCGTCCTCCTTGCCGTCTTCCTCGTTTTTCCCGCCGTCAGCCTCGCCTGCCTCGCAGTCACCCTCCTCCTTCCCTTCTCGTCCTCCGCTGCATGCGGCGACGAAGTCAGCGGTGACGACGACAGGCGGGGCGGACGGCGGGACGCTGGGGAGCTGACGATGCTTGAGCGCCACGTTTTGGGGAGAGCGAGAGGGGGCAAGGATAGTGAGACTGCGAGGGGGCGAGAGGGGAAGGAGAGCGGGATGGGGGACGGGGGAGAACTGCGAGGGATGGGGGGGCGCGGAGAGGGGAACGAGGACGGGACAAAGGGAGGGGGACCGCGAATGGGGAGGGCGGGAGGGAGGGGCGACTGCAGCGGAGGAGCGGGGAGGCGGGCCGTCCTGGGCCCCTTGGCATCCTTGGAGGTCTCCCTTTCGGGGGTCCCTTTTGGGGTCGTCGGCGCCCGCCTGGGGGCGTCTCGGGGGCCCCCGCGGGGAGGCCACGGGTGCCATCCTGTAGGCCATCGATCCAAAAGGAGGGGGGTCCCCTCCCCCTCCTCCTCCTGCTCCTCCTCCTCCTCATTCCTCCTCCTCCTCCTCCTCCTCCTCCTCCTCCTCCTCGTTCCTCCTCCTCCTCCTCCTCCTCCTCCTCCTCCTCCTCCTCCTCCTCCTCCTCATTCCTCCTCCTCCTCCTCATTCCTCCTCCTCCGCCTGCTCTCTCATATCCCCGCCGCGCCCGCAATGCGCAGTCGGTCTGCAGCTTCTCGGCCCAAGACTTTCGCGTCCGTGGGCTGCGGCTTCCCCCCGCCCCCCCTCTCTCGGGACGCGCGCGCGCGTGGGGGGCGAGGTTTTCTCTCCCTTCAAGGACGCTGCCGCGTCCTCCCCTCTGCGGGACATCGGGGTTGGCGGAGAGCGCACTTGCTTCGCCGCCCCGACTCCCTTGGGGGGGCCCGCCGTCTGCCTCGGGCTGGCGGTGGCCTTGATTAGCGGGCTCTCGCTTTCGTTGCTCAGCACGGGGGTCGTCTTCCTGTTGACGACTGCCGTGGCCTGCTGTTTGTGCGGGCGCGTGCGCTGCACCTGCCGGGCAGGACAGGGGCGCTTCAGGTGCCCCCCCGGCTCGTGGCGGCTGAGCACCCGCGGGGTGTTCAGGACCGTCGCGCGGCGCGAACTGGTCCGTCGGCTCCCGCCCCCTGGCCGCGCGGCCAGTCTGGACGTGCGTCCAGGGGCCCGTGTGCCCTCACCGCCTTGGCTGCCTTCGCCTCGGCTGCGTGTCGATCCGCTCGCCCTCCCTGCTCGGGGTGCCGTCCCCCGCTGGCGTAAGGTGTGTTTGCCGGCTGCCATTATGTGGCCACTGGTGTGCCTGGCTTCTGTGCCAGTGCCAGATGGCGCCCCGTGGCCTGACCTGCTTCTGGTCGACCACCCGCCCTTCGGAGCTTCGTGGCCTTTAGTGCCTACCTGGCCGCCGCCGCAAAACTCTTCTCCTCCCTCTCCCTACTTCTTCCCCCTGGCCTTCGGGGCGGAGGAACTGGAGACTCATCTGAGGAGAGGACGAGGAGGAGAAGGAGGAACTTACACGCCATGTGCTCCAGCACATCGACAAGGCGAGTTCCCTGGCGACAGCGACGGACAGCGCTCTCAGGCGGCGAGCCCGGCCCTTCCTCGCGCGTGTACATCCGCTGGCGAGAGCCTTAATAAGGGCGAGTTCCCTGGCGACAGCGACAGACAGCGCTCTCCGGCGGCGGGCCTGGCTCATCCTCGCGCGCGAACTCCTGCTGGCGAGAGCCTTACCAAAGGCAAGGCGGTCAGAGGCGCGAAGACAATTGCGCGGGGGATGGAGGAGTCGGAGCGGGTGGACCTCACTAACCTCCACCTCCTCTCCACTTCCTCACCCCCCTTCGCCGCCTCGCAACGGCTCGGACGCGTGTCTCGGCAACGCAGCCGTCATATGGGGACCGCCAGGTCCGCGGATGCCGACTGCCTTCCGCGCGCGGTGCACTCGGACGCCAGCGGCGCCAGGGCGCCCACGCCCTTGCCCTGCCAAGGCTGTGCGGCGGTTGAGCCGCTGGGGTCCTCGGGTCGGACGATCATGCGTGTCTGCCCGCCGCCCGGCTTAAGCGCGCTGCCGTCTCTCGGGGTCGCGCCGATTGAGCCGCCGCCAGGTCTCGTCGGACAGGCGGCCGACTTGGTGATGCCTGGTTCGGCTAGCCCGCTCCCGGCCGCCCGCGCGCCCGAAAGCGGTCTCAGTGATGAATGCACCCCGCGCTGGACTTTTGCGTGGGGGGTCTCAGCGTTCCCGTTCTTGCGGACCGCGCCTCCGACTCCGCATCAGCGTCTTGGCAGCGGCGCACGCGCAACGGTGGCGTCGGGCACTGCTGCCGCTCCACATTCGGCCTCCCTGATCGAGCGTGTGGGTCGGCCTCCTGGCCTCCTGGGTCTGGACGCTGGCGCGCCCCCGCAGCCGTCAGGCGTCAGCAGGCCCGTCGCGTGTTCGCCGCCTCCGCCCGTCTCTGGGGCGGATGTGGAGACCGCGGCCGCCGCCTTCGCTGCCACCCGCAGTGTGGAGGCTTGCTCTCAGTCGTTTCTGACGCCTCCCCTGCGTTCGAGCGCTCTGACGGTTCGCGCGCTGCCTCCTCGTGACGACGTGGGGGGGTGGTCGGTTGTTTCGGGTCCACCCCTGCGGACGCCGCCCCTGCCTCCCAGGGGCCCTCCCGTGCTGTACTATGGCGTTCCCGGGAGCGGCCCGCCTGCGTGTGATACGCTTCGGCAGCGTGCGTCCCCTGGCGCGGCTCTCCCCGCGCCCGCAGCGGGCGTTGTGCCACTGCACTCTGCCTTCGGCGACGTGGGAAGTGAGGCCACCGCTCCGGGCGCTTTCGCTCTGGCGCCCGTGCCCTCCGCCGCCCCATGCGTTGCAGACGCGGCTGCCGCCGCCTCCGCGGGTGACCGCCAGAGTTTCCTCGCGGAGTGCCCTCATCAGGAGCATCCCGCTGGAATAGGCGCCCCGCCGCCTCTGTCTGAAGTTACTAGCCTCGGGGGCGGCGTCGGCGCGCCAGCTGCTGAAGATCCTATCTCCGGTTTCGGGGACTGTCAGGTGCCATCCGAGCCCGGGGCTGACCCAATGCCATCAGCAGCGGCCGCCGCAGCTGGCCCTCCTATCGTTTCGCCTCCCTTGACTCGCACCGACTGCGAGGCGCGCGTGAATGACGAGCAAGTTCAATCTGCGTCTGTCCCAGCGAGGCGCCGACTTCGGCGGGCTCCCAGCGCCGCCTGCCCCGTCAGGCCCAGGGTTCGCCCAGGCTGCCTTTCGCCCGGCAAGTCTCGGCGTCTTCGCGGGCCCCGCTGCCGCCGCGGCGGACGGAGAGGCCGGCTGGGAGGCTCAGTTGCGAGGAGCAGTAGTGGCGCGGTCGTTGCCACGGGGGCGCGCACCGAGGCTGTCTTGGCGCCGCGGGGCGTTGCTCGTGCCGCCGATGGCCCGGCTCCGCATGCGGGCGCTCCCGCGCCTATCGGCCCCGGGGTCGGCGGCGCCACAGCTCCGTCGGGAGCTCCTCAGAAAGCTCGCCGCGCCGCCCCCGCCGAGAGGCCCGAAGCAGCCACCACATCCCCAAAAGGGGCCACCACAGGTGCCGCCCAAGAAGTCCCCGCCGTCACTGAAGCGGCAGGACACCAGGGTCGCGGGGCGAGTAGGCATCGGCTTGGTAAGACGCCCGCTGATGCCGCTCGCGGTTTCTGGGCGGAGCAGGCTAATCGCGGTAGGAACTGGGGGGTCCAGCAGGGTCGCTACGACCTTGCAGGGACCCCCGAGCGCCGTCGCGGGGGTTCCTGCTCCGTCCCCGAAGCTCCCGCTTCCTCGCCAGGCCATTTTGGCCCAAGTGGTAAGCCCTCTCGAGTTGACTTGTCCTCAGGGGTCCTTGCCGCGCCTGCTGCGCCAGAGGCCCCTCGAGTTGACTTGTCCTCCGGGGTCGCTGCCACATTTCCCAGCACGACCCGTGCCGATCCTTTTTCTGGTCCTGCGCCATTCGTGCTGGACCTTGCTTCCTTGCTGCGCCTGTTCCCAGGCGCTCACATCGACATAACCCACTGGGCAGCTGCTTGGCCTCAGGCTGGGATGGGTTCTCGTTGTGCGCTGTCCGCTTTTACCCGTTTTTCGTTCTACGCGTCGGAACGGGACGTCTCTCAGGAGTACGCTCCCCGCGATCCGTGGCCGTGCCCGCCTGCCCCTTCCTTGCAGCCGCCCCCCGTCACCTTGACTGGGCGTGCGCGCGAGCGTTGGCGGATTCGGCGCGCCGCTCGCACTCTGTCCCAGCATGCAGTTGTTGCGTTCAATTGGCTCACGCTGGGGCACCCTAGCTTCGCTCCCTCCGAGGCTCGAGTGTGTGCAACGGTCTCCCCTTGCCAGGAGGGGGCGCGCTCTAGGTTAGAGCGCCTTTGTAGGATTGCAGTTCGCCTTGCCCGCGGTGGCAAGAGCGACCTTGGCAGAGCCTTCGCCAAGTTTGACTCCACCGAAGTCTCGCTCCGTGGTCTGGCCACCCACGTCGCAGCTCTTGAGGCTTCCTTCAATTCCTCTTCTCAAGTGCCCGCCCCCATGCGGCAACCCCCCGTCAGCGCTACTCCCCTGGTGGACTCGCTGGCAGCGGCTGCAGGTTGGGATGCGTCGAAGGCCGAGCCCTTTGATTTGAACATCCGTGCCAGTCGCATCAAGTGGGATTACGCTCCGTCGTTTGACCCAAGTCCTTACCTTGACGACCCCTGGGTGCGCGCCGCTTTCCACGACCCT